TTTCTAAGGAGACTGGTGCAGCAGTCTGAGTATAAATCTGACAGGAGATAGAAAATGATTTTTTTTTTCTTACTTAGAGACGTCCTTCATGCTGAGGATCCAAAACATTTAAAAGAAAATCAGTTGAATACCTCTTCATTATCATGCGTGTATGAATATTTTAGCCATTTATCACTAGTTGCCTGTCTAAAAAATATACAACATTAAAAAATAAATTGAGATAGTGAGGGCTCTTTAGCTATAATTGTCATAATTCCTTCCTTTGAAATGTGTTAAGTTATTCTTCCAAAGCAAAATATTTCCCACTTATTTTGTGTTGCTGTAAAACGAGGTGCTTCTAGTTCCTTGTGCACGGAAAATAGAGAGCTCTTTAGAAAGCAGGGGCTTATGGGTCAAGCATTTGTGTCTCACAGGTACTTTCATACGCTGATGGAGCAGGAAACACATTAAAAGCCGTACTGTAGTGAACAAGGAGCCGCTGATTGGCCATGTGTGTTTAGCTGCATGGATCCCTGTCGGTCTGGCTTGTGCAGTGGACAACACAGAACGTTTGCATGAGCATGCAAAAACAAACACATCAACTTACCGTAATTCCTTGAAAGTGTTTACTTCTTTTTGTCAAACTTAGTAAAGGAGAAAAATAAGGGACAGATTGCAAGGATAGAGACTAGGTGTTGGGAAAAGAGGAGGCAAAATACAAGGAGGGAGGAAAGAGGTTATAGTGAGGAAAAACAGACTCAACTGATGAGCGAGAAACTCATCAGAGGAAGAAAGGTAAATGAGGAGAAGAGAGAAAGAAGAACCACCAGGTGAGGTTAGGGATGAACCAGTAGGGACAAAAATGAAGCATTGGGGGCCAGAGTTGAGGAATTAGGAAAGGAAGTTGAGAGAGATTTATTGAATAAAGATGGAGTGCAAAGGAGCGATAGATTAAGGAAAAGCAAGCAGGCGGAAGGGAGCAATTTAAACAGAGGAGGACGGGGTGGAGGAGAAAAATGGAAGCGCAATTAACAGCTAGACCTTGCTTCCGAGCTCTCGCTCACTTGAAGCCATGCATGATAAATGTGGTCACACACACATGCCCAAAAATACAAGAATGTGCACACACAGAGACCAGACAAAACCAAACAACACTTACTGATCTGATTTAATCCAAGACAAACCAGTCTGATTCCTTTAGCCCTAATCCAATTATTACCACCTCCTACTGGGAGTCATCTCACACATGCTTACACACACAAAGACACGGAACAAGGCAGGTTTACCCGCGTTGGTTTCAAGACAATTATAGAATACGGCTGAAAATGTGATTCTTATCTGTGACTGATTTGAGGTCATGAATGAGCAAAACTTTCTGTGCTTCCACTGATGTGACTGTAGGAGTGTAAGGATATTCCAGATTATTCTCTTGTTTGACGGGCTCAGCCGCTCTTAAAATAAGCCACTTTCATAAAAAAGCTTCAGCAGATCTGGCTTCTCAGTGAACTTCAAACACAACTCAGAACATTTGTGTTGGTATTAAGATGAAACTAAACACCATCATTGTCTCATGTTGTAAACACAGTGTGAGGAAAGTCACTTTAAAGGCATAGATTTGCAGTCTACTGCTTTCTTTGCAATAAAAGAAGTTAAACCTTCGGCATAGCCAAATCTGAAAATCTGATATTCTAAAAATAAAAAACACACACAATCACAAAAAGTCAAACGTCTTCAAGAAGTGACACTGAGCTTATCTTATTGCAGAAGGTGCATGATTTGTCATTTGCAATATGTTCTTTATTAGTCTCGCAGTGGTTGTTCTTCAGAGTGAGCTTCGGGAAATCTATCCACAATGACACCGTCGCTGTGTGAAGCAATGGGTGCACCAACCTTTCTGCACATGCACAGCACAAAGGTCAAGTGTGTGGCGATGGCTGCCTGATAAATGTGTCTCAACTGTGAGGCTGGAAATAAAGGGGGATTGTCAACAAAGGTTCATCTACAGTGTAGAGGACACAAAGAAACCCAACATATTCAAATAATTTAACAAACTGAATTGCTAGAGAGCTACTGCAAAATGTACTTAAACTACTAGTTAATTCACATGTCGTTCACCTCTCCCTAACACTGGAGGTTAAACAGGAAACCCAGTGTTAACCTGCAGGGCCCCTGAGGTCCAACCAGACTGATGTCAAATGGCCCGACATGCTTAATGAGTTAAGAAAAGGCTAATCCCATTCTTCATCAGACAGGCTCTAAGGGCATCCTATTCAGCTACACACACAGTGTCACCAACACACTGACTCACAGGCACATCCTCTACACTCACTGGTGCTGAGAATGTTAAAAGATGTGAATCCTGTCCTTTACACAGGGAGTGATGAACAGCAGTGGATCAAAACAAATCAAGAGAGTTTAGATTTAGATAATGATGGGAGAGGTTAGGTGTTTTCAGCACCATGGTTAAAAAAGAACTGCTGACACTGAATAATGGTGTTTGACTTTGCAAAACAATTTAGCATTAAAAGCATACTTGATGTAATAAATTCACATACAGCACTATATGCATTAGGCTGATCCTTTTTTCCCTTTTTAACAAACTTAATCAGAAAACCATGTTGACTTTAACAGCAAAGAAGGACTGTCTCAGTCATTAGAGAAACATGGTAGACGGGGAGAGACCTTGACTCTAAGACGCTACACTAACTCATTTACATAATGTATAGTGGAAACCTTTTACAGCTAACAGCTTAAGCAAAACAGAGCCAAGACATACTTTTATTCTGTTGTGTGAGTACCTATGCCAGTATCTTTACATCTGTGAGGTGATTTACATTTGTGCTAAAGATTCCTTTTTCCTCGGATGTACTTTCATTCATTATTTTTTTTTTCAAAATAGATGTAAAGGGATTATGGTATGCATAAAACTGATGGATGCTTTAAGACAAGATTTCCTTGAAGAAAAGTTAACCCCTGCTTTGTAGAACCATAACCTAACATATAGAGGAACGTACAAATGCACAAAAATGTCTACAAAAAAGATGCATTTTCATTCTTCTCAGAGTGTATATTGGAGACTTGACACAGTCAATGGGTCAACTAGCCCCACTGAGCCGGAGTGTGTTTGCCCCCAGTAAGGTGGAAATGTTTAGCTTTTTTAAGTTCTTGCCTCAGACCATTGGACCATTGGACCATATGGCTCATTGGTGTTTCACATCGAGCCCCAGAGTCAGCAATCACACATAAGCTCAGGGGTGGAACTGATGCTTCGACATACTGTTTGTTAGGACTCTCTCTCTCAGGATTTGTATTAAACTTGTTGGAAGCTTCAACCAGTATATGAAGTTACATTTTCCTCACAGTTATTCGGAAGAATTCACATAAGGACTCGAGCTCGCATGATAATGTGAATTGAGCATTACAGTATTTGCATGAAAGATATAGTTAAGGAGTCAATTTGGTGTGGCTACCTGAGATTTCAAATTGCATTCACATTTGTAACAACGCTTTGGCGTTATTTCTTATATGATAAGAAATATTTTAGATTTGCTTTTTATTTAATGATGAATGATTCAACTCAACATTTTGAACATCATTCATAAAAAGTATTAAAGTGAACTTCCAGCCTGTTCCAAGGACCCTCATCAGACTGAACCATCAGATTTGCAGACTGACGACAACAAGACGAGCAAAGATTTGCATAAAGGGATCAATAAGTTGTATGAATAAAGTGATTTTCATTTGGCACCTAATACCCACAGCTCTTCTCTAGCTTCTCTTCCTTTTTTCTTTTCTTTAACACTCACTGGCGCGCACACAGACACAGGAAAATGACTTCTTTCTGTTGTCTGTCGGACGGGATGATTCATGAGCCGCGTCCACGGACACATTCATGCGGGACCCGAGAAGAACCGGCGATCACCGGGGAATCAGTCACACAGGCACACTGGCTCAGTCACCGTCAGCGACCCCGAAATAACACCGAACCAAGTGTGAAAGATTCAAGAAGACAGAACCAAAAAAAGCTGTCTCATTAAAGATGGCTGGAAGAAATAATAGCGGGTGGGAGCTCAACGTTATCAACGAGAAGGCAAAATCCATCGATAGGTACAATGAGAAGAAATATAGTGACCTATACAGCCGGAAATGTCACATATCAGGAATTCTATACTAAAGAAACTACTCGATGCTGAAATTGCAAATTGTAGTTCAGGGATTTAGTATTTTTTCGAGATAAAGTATAAATGTGGGGCATGCGTGATCAATTAAGTATTCATCTTGGACTAATACATTGTGTTGAAAGTTTTCTGAAAAATAAAATAAAATAAAAAGCTTGACTTGGTTAACGTGGAGAGACATATCAAACTTTACATTTTACAGAAACTTCGCTTACAGTATCAGCAACACGTAGCCAATCAGAGTGCACAAGTATAGCTTCAACATTTGAAATCTTCAACTGACAGTGAAGCTTTGACTAACTTAGAAATCTCATCAATGTTTCTGAATGTCATTTTATGAAGGCCAAATTAAGAGCAATAGTCAGAAAACAAATATAATGATCTTATATAATGTTAAGACTAGAAATCCTGAAAGTTTTAAAAAATGAGGTAGGCTATATTTAAATAAGTGAGGGTTTAAAATGTCCATCCCTTAACATGACTGCCAGGATTTTGAAGAAACACACACACAAATGTTGAACACTTACAAATGTCAGTAAACCAGCTCTATATTGATGCCCTGAACACCAAATTCAGAATCACCCAACCAGCGCTTGAATCTAGACACCAGAGATCCTGAGGAGTTATCACTGGTAGGTCTGAACTCAGGAGTTAAACCGCTCAGTCTCCCCTCCTCATGTGGACCCTGGTTCTTGTGCTCCGGTATAAGCCACAAGCTGACACCTCCCTGAGATACCTGCAGCCCCGCCGGTCAATAACCCTGCCTCACACAGACTCGGTCTGCCTCCCACCCGCATCCAGACTCATCCACAACAAACAGAATAAAGCAAAACAATAACTTACGAGTTGTTGGCAAAGCTCCGTGCACGCCGTTGACATGGCTGAAAATCCACAACGCGACGTGCAATAACAACGTCAGTCCCCGGGCAGGACGGTGCCGGTGCATGTTTAACGGCCGGCGTGGACGCAACTCAACGGGAGAGGGAGAGGAAACAGTTGGTGGGAAAAAGAAACAGCAGAGAGGTGGCAACGCCAATCGGTGCGTCAGACTTGCTTCTCAGCAGAAGACTGGCAAGAGGATCCAGGCTGCAAGGACTCCCTATTCGCTCTCTACTCCCCCCATTTGTCTCTCTCGCGCTCTCTCTCTCTCTCGCTCTCTCTCTCTCTCTCTCTCTCTGTCTCTCTCTCTCTCTCTCTCCAATAAAGGGATGATGTAAGGATCACGCAGGCTAACACTGGCATGTGCCAGCAAGCGCAACGCACTTCTCTCTGCAGTGAGCTTTCCGTCGTATTTAACGATACCCGATTTAAAAATCAGCCGGGTCTCCACTTGCACAGGACGAGACGGGTGCGAGTGCAGAGTACAGTTCTGTTTCTAATAGTTCAGGAAGGCATAACTGTGCGCAGCTCCAAATGCACTGAACTGATTTCTCCTCTCCTGCGCTCCTGTGCGCTGTCCGTGGTGCTGAACTTCTCTCAGTCTTACCTCTCTCTCTCTCTATCTCTCTCTTTATTCCCCCCTCTTTTAAAGCCCTTTCGTTTCTTATAGTCACACAGTGCCCCCCTCCTTCCTGAGGTGGTGGTAACTGGTAGCATGCAACTCTGTGCATCTACTTATTACACCATAAAGGAAAACGTTGCAGATATTTGAACCATCTTTTTTCCATTATGGTAGTACATGCAAATTAGTAAGTTTGTGTCTCAATCCCCTCCATTCAATCACCTGTTAAAAGTCTGCCGGCTCTGGGCCAGATCTGTTGTTTAAAACCAAAATTTCACTTCTTTACTTCCAGACACTTTGAGAGGGGCAGATCCTCCAATACGTTAACAAAACATACTGCAAAAAATATAAAGGAAAATGTTTCTTCAATGTAGTCATCAGATATTCTGGTCCACTTGTCTGAGGCTACACTGTGGCATAAGGAGGACAGAGAAGGAACCACAGCAGAGAGTCGAGCACGACCAGACAGAAAGAATGACTGCACAGAGCTTCCCCATGTCAGGGACAAATTATACTACAGCTGTGGAACCAATAGAGACAGAACACTTAAGCTTCAGATCACAGAGAGATGGGGGTATTCCTGAAATATATAAAACAAAGCCAGCTGGGTGATATGAACTTTTGCTCATACCATAGCTGCAATAAAACAGTGTTATTCCTACTACATCAGCAACATTACAGCCTATATAATAAAGCATTTAATAGTACCATGCCCAAAAGGAAACTCCACAGCCTATTGTTTATGATCTCTGCAGCCATGCAGCACCAACCTCCAGAATATTTGTGCCTTTTTCTAGAATAAACAGCCTGGTATGAAAACACCATATTCCCAGAGGTAAAATACAACTTCAAGTACAGAAGTCCATCCTCACTTTAGAAAATTCTCAAAGTGGTAATGCACTCTAACCATTCTGTCTGATTATAGTGCATCTCATTTGTATTTATTATTTTATTTTAAGGCAAGCTTAAATGTTATGGGGTCATAGAACAACAATTTTAACTAAATATTCTAATTGTTCAAGGGTTTAGGGCATGATTTGGAACATTCAGTCAATGACCTACATCATTGAGCTAAAGACACCTGTTGTTTAGGTCTATGGATGTGTAATGTGAAACAAGTGTTGTGTATATCCTCAGGAAGAGAAGTTCTGAAGTCTTGTACTGTTTGGCTCTTTTCATTTCTACTACCACTGCCGATATGGGATTTTTGGGACCGATACTGATATTGATAGTAGGAAGAGGAAAAAAATCTGATATCGATAAATTGGCCGATAGTGAACCCCTACGTAGTGAAATGCAATGAGCAAATGCTTTGTTTCAGTAACCATTGCAGGTGCTTTTGCTGGCAAAACAGAAACAAAAAACTGTATACACCAAACCTGAGTTTAAATCACTGGAAATAGTGCATAGTCAAGCAGAACAATACAAACATAGTGCTGCTGGGAAAAGCTCACACATTAAAATTTAAAGAGTTTCTTGCAATATCTCAAAGACTCCAGAGCAGGCAGATATGGGGTTTATTTTTAAAATGCTGGTTCAGGGTTTTAACAGATTTTGCTCAGAATATGTCCCAAACAATGCCCCTGTGTGAAACCATGTATCCGTTGGATGGGATTATAACTGCTGGTTTCATTTTGTATGTTAAACCGCACATTCAGATATTATCAGTGTTTCATAAATACCCTGCTTGAGGAAAGTAACAATGGACTGTAACTTCACATACTTGCTATTTCTCACGTCTTTTCAGAACATTACTCACATAGTTTCCAGAGCAGTTCACATTTAGATGCTATGGTCCTATCATATACTGTAGCTGACCTTGTAAAGCACCTTATTGGCATGCAGTTTGTGTGCATACCACACTGCACCTTGAACTTTCACGCTTCTGCTTATATATAATTTTCAATCTGCATATCAGTTTTTATGGCGTTGGTATTTTGGTTTCCTTGGAGTTTTAAAATCCTGCACTCAGCTTTTTTAGTTTATGTAAGTCAGCATAGACAAAAAAAGAGCATGCTGGCTAACAAAAAGATATATGTGACATAATGTTAATAGACATCCTAGTACTTTAAAGGTCACAAAATACACTAAAAATATACTTTACCATGTTTCTCTAAAGCTTATATGTGTCCCTAGCCAGTCTACAAACCCTCCAATTATGAGAAAAGTTTGTCCTTTCTGTCTTTTGTTTTGCCTGCTCCACTTTCGGAGATTTTCCCTTCATGACATCACAAAGGGCAGTAACCCCTTCCCCCAGGTGGGTGACACTCCCACAGCTAGGTGTTTGTTCTTCCCTCTGAGTCTGCCGTCTCACCGTAAACAATAAGACATGGAGCGAGAAAGTCCGAGCCACCCAAGCCCTTGCAGAGAGGGGGCGTGGTCTGACACAGCTCATTTACATTTAAAGGTACAGACCCAGAAACAGCCTGTTCTGAGTAGGGCTGAAATAGAGGGGTTTATAGGCATTATCAAATACAGGATTCAAGTGGATTATGGCAAGAAATTTCACAGACATGTATTGGGGACCTCTGAGATTTATTTAAACTGGATGAAAAGGAGTAAATGTGACCTTGGAAAAATAAATGGAAAACTGAATCTTACATGGATGTTTTGGAAAATCCCTATTTTTTTTTCTAACATGCTACAGTATATATTGGAACACAGTCCAGCTAACTATTCCTTTATCAAGTCATTATAACTTATTTAAATACCTGACATCGTCTACCTGTGCTTTTCCCTGCTCCCTAAAGAAATGTGCTGGAAATATGATATGATGTAACACTATCTATTTAAAAACTACACTACACCCACTAAACACATGTTGTAATATATATGACTTGAGATCTATGATTATGCAAATAAGTAAAACATTTAATCAATAACACTAAATCTTTTTACTTCCTGCAGTATACTGCATGTGAATGCCTTCACATGTACTGACAGAGAGATGGGACACTGCTGCTATATTCAACTCCTAAAAGAAGCAAAGTGGAATTGACTTATGTTAATTAAAGACCTTAGGTGTCAATCGTTCCACGGATTATTTGCATATTTTCAAAACAACACTAGAAGTAGGAAAATAAATATCTGCACTCTCTTTGCTTTTCTCCCTTCAAATGCATCATACTTTACTGCACAACAAACCACCATGCATGTTGTACAATCCTCTGTAACTCATGCAGTATGTTGACTAACAAGGAAATAATCCTTCATCAGTCCCTGTGTTAGTTTATCAGTTGTCTTTCTATTCGCAGCAATTAAATTGGATCATAAACAAAAAGAAAAATAGCAGATGTTTGTGTCCTTACCACCAGCGTTATTTCTTCACACATACATTTCATCACCATGTTCACAGTTATCTGTAATCTTTTGAATTTGGACTGAGGTACCCATTTTAAACCTTACAAACAAAGTGTCAGAGTTGTATGTTGCTCCTTTAAGTAGGAAAAGGAACCACAGTGTAAAATAAATGAATCAAACTTTAATAGTTGGAGTGAATGGTTTAAAGAGATTATGTGAAGGAAATGAAGTGCCACTCTATTGCAGCCAGAGAAATTCTCCACATCCACACGAACTAGACAACGTATCAAGGATGGATTCCTCTTTTTCTAGTGTTGCAGTGCTCCACATTAACAAGAGATCCTATCAGCATTGTCTGCAATCTGATGTCAGCTCCATTTTATCCCTATTAAAAATCCAGTTGCAAAAAACGTTGAGGTCTGTCACGACCACATATGAGTTTTTTTTCAAGTATCAGTAAGAAGAGATAATGTGGATCCACAAGTGAAGTGATAAAGAAAAAAAACAGACAAAGGAAAGTAAAAGTTGCTGATGTTGCCTTTCACTGGTTAAATCTGAACCCTATTTCAGCAGCTGCTTAGGTCAGACAAGTTTCCTTTCTCTTGGTAGACTGACACAATCTGCACTCGCAAGGAACCCTGGTCTTTTAATAATGTCACAGCATAATTGGTTTCTGAAACATTTCATGGCCTTAATTAACTAAATGAGCCTAAAGGAGTCGGCGAGGAGCAGGGGAGGAGTGGAAGATGGGAAAAAGAGGAGCAGACCAGGGAGTAATACAAGCGATAAAGATCAGATACCTTATCATTTCAATTCACAAGTCTGCTATTCAGTCCCTGGTGCTCCACTTAACTCTGCACCCACACTGTCAATGGGTTCCCTTTCCTGAACTCAAATTAATGTACTTTACATTTAAACGCTGTCTCAAGCTCATGCTGAGTAAAAATGTGCAGATGACTATGAGGAGAATTTCTGTGGCAGCGCTGAATTATTTAGCCTCAGCACTACAATGTGACAAGTAAAGATGATGGCATTTTTTCTGCCTCAAATGGATTTCTTGATTTTCATCCTCAAAGGCCAACCTGCTTTAGTTAATCCATAGCGTAATACAAATACCACCTATGTTGCTAAGTATTTTTGTATTAGTGATGTTGAAAGAAACAGACTGGAGAAAAACATCTGCGCCATGGTCTTCTTTTTTGCTTAAACACAAAATGATTCCTTCTTACAAATTTCCAATTTAAGAGTCACACTTTTCTCATATTTTTGAAATTATTATTTAGAAAAAAGAGACTCTCAGGCATCTGTAACTCGTTCAAAATTGAGCCATGTCACGTCCTATTGGATCTAAAAGGATAGCCAACATCACCCCAGCTCTTGAATCTCTGTAGTGGTTGTCAGGAACTCATCGCACTGATTTAAAGGAGATCTATTATACTCACTTTCACCATTAATTATGTCAGCATGGGACTCCTATTGAGTAGTATTGTGAGATGTGTAGCTCAAAAATGTCCATGTTCATCTAATGCTGGTGTCAGTGAAATCTCTCATCTCAGCCTCTGTCTGAAACATTTCATTTCAGCTGCTGTCCTCCCTCCTTAAATTCAACAGGCCATATAATCTTTT